CATGCGATATGTTGATGGATTAAATGATGTTGTATATAATTATATTTTAAATCAATTATATATTGAATTGTGGAGTAAGTGATGTTAATGTTTTGAGGATGTTGATGTTGATGATATTGTTATGATGGTGACATTATTGTACAATATTGATTTTGTTGTTGTACTGATGAATAATAGTTCGAGTAGGGGAGTTATTATCGTTGGTTCAATGCATATTTTGTTTATTATCGGGAGGGAAATTTAAACATTATATTGTTATTGCATTAACGTGTTTTGACATGCATTCACGATATCATTGTTGTTGATGAAAGAGGCAAGTTACAATCCGAGCAAGGTGAATTAGTGACTTGTCTCGAATCTGAGCAGGATAGATTCGAGGTTCGAGCAAGGTGAACTCAGTTCTTGAGTGAACCAATTATTGATGATATGGTACCACATGCATATGAGTCTAGTTGACATTGTGGGTCTCATTGCATAAGTTTAAATGACTGATGTGTGATTATGATGTGTATGATGCTGAGCTAGGTATGAGAATATGGGTGTGTTTGATGGAATATGTATGTAGATGTTTGTGATTCTACCTTGCATCATTTCAAAGGATTGAAACCAAAAATATACATAGATTTTCATCATCTTCATCCTCTCTCATTGCATACATACAAAAACTACACATAATCATTTTTGTTGTGTTATCAAGAGATAGTTTGATAAGGTCCAATTAGGATTTAGTGTAATCAATTGGGTTGAGATTTATTTGGGGGTTTCAAGATAAATCCTTTTGGGGTTTTTTTCCAAGATCAAGGATTGATTTGAGAGTTTTTCACAAGATTGCGTAATTTGGATTCAGTCGAGTGAAAGCTTTGAAGAACGAGATTTTTTGTCAAAAGAGTAACGATAATAGGAGGATCACTTTGGTAATTTTAGGTCACGATAAATTTGCAATTTAGATTCAACCGAGTGAAAGCTTTGAAGAACGAGAGTTCTATCAAAGGAGTAACGGTAACCGGAGGATCATTGGAAGTATCAGGTTACTTGATCGAGCTTAATATCAAGGGGAGAGAAGAAGTTAGGATCAACATCAACCATATGATTTAGAGGGTTGGACTGCTATTTTTCCTCTTGTAAACTGCATTTGCAGAGGTTAATTTTCATTAGCTCGATTTCATTAAAATTGGGGGCATGCGTACTCATAACGAGGTTGATTGGGAAACTGCCTAAACAAATCGTTTTCTCTCTATCTATATATCTATCTATCTCTCTCTCTCTCTCTCTGTCACTCACTCTCTCTTTTATCTTTACTTGCAAATTATTTTTTTATAAGCAAATATTATTAATATGAATACAAGGGGTACTCAAACCCAATACAAGAAACTTAATCGCACTTTAAAAAATCTAAAGGAGAATGTAACCAATTATACATAGTGGTGCATGATTTTCCTCTATTGCCAATGATGTGCCACAACAAAGCCACAACTTTGATATTCATAGTAAAGCCATTGATTGTGCAATCGATACATTGAGAAAAATTTATTTTCTAATACTTCAAAATGTTTTATTGAGTTGATTGCAATCTATGTGATTGTAATTGATTTCTCATATCAACAAAGTCATAGAAAAATATCTTTTAAATTGATTGCACATCAAGTGTTCGAAAAATTACTTAAGTAAATTTTTGTTTGAAATTTCATTGGAAATCAATTACTATTGTATCGTTTTATTCAAATGTTATTGTTGAAAATATATTGATTAATTTTCTCATCCAACACATACGTTATATCGGTTTAACGTATATCTGATCTTTTCGATAACGGTTCGAGATAGACGATTATCAATTTGGGATTCTTTCTGCTAGCTATAGTTAAACAAAATTTTAAAACATATTTTAAATAATAAAATTTCATTTGCAATCTATTCACCACCTCTAGATCTTAGCCATTATCTAATAATTACTGATTGTAAAGGTAATGTTGTGACTTGCTACAAGTGTGGGGAGCAAGGTCATTCTAGTACTAATTGCCAAAGACCTAAGAAGGCTAAGTCTAGAGGAAAGGTTTTTGCTTTGTCTGGTTCAGAGACTACCAGTGAGGACTGGTTAATTCGAGGTACGTGTTTCATTAGTAGTATTCTCTTGAAACATTATAATGCTAGAGAGAAGCACTAAAGTATGGTGATGGTTTGAGGGTTTGATTATATTAGGATTATAATGGAGATGAAATATTATGAATATGTCTGATGTGTTATCAAGTTATTATATAGGTGAAATAATCATGAATCAATTGTGTTGTTCTATAATATTGAGTGTTAATACTAATGATTATGCTATTGTGTGATTGTGAATAATTGATGATGATGTTGTGTTAAATGTGTAAATGGTGATATTTATGTGTTATTGTACGATCATGAGATATGTTGATGAATTAAGTGATGTTGTATATAATTATGTGTTAAATTAATTATATATTGAATTGTGAAATATGTGATGTTGTGTAGGAAGTTGATGTTGATGATGTTGTTATGATGGTGATTTTATTGTACAATATTGATGTTGTTGTGTTGGTGAATAATAGTTCGAGTAGAGGGAGTTATTATCGTTGGGTCAACACATGTTTTGTTTATTGTCGGAAGGGGACTTTAAACATTGTGTTGTTGTTGCATTGACGTGTTTTGATATGCATTCATGATGTTGTTGTTGTTATTGATGAAAGAGACAAGTTGCAGTCCGAGCAGGGTGAATTAATGACTTGTCCTGAATCTGAGCGTAGTGGATTCGGGGTTCGATCAGGGTGAACATGGTTCCTAAGTGAACCAATTGTTGATGATATGATACCACATGCATATGAATCCAGTTGATGTTGTTGATCTCATTGCATAAGTTTATATGATTGATATGTGATTATGATGTGTATGATGTTGAGCTGGGTGTGAGAATGTGTTAGTGTGTTTGATGGAATACGTATGTAGATGTTTGTGATTCTACCTTGCATCTTATGTCGTTTATCTTATTGATTGAATTCTCACCCCTTTGTTGTTGTTGTGGTTTGTGCTCCTCTTCAGGGTACATATAAGCAGGTAGATGAGTAGCTGCTTAGAGCTGTAGGATGGTGTTGAGGCTATTCTTCTTTTTTCTGTTTGTACGCGCTTTTAGATTTTCGTTGCTCTAATTTGTAACAATGGACGGGAAAACGTTGTTTATTTTATCATTATGTTTTAATGGAGAGTTGGATGATATACTCTCAATGTTTTGAGTTTTGTTGATTGTGGAGGCTTACGCCATAACTATTTTAATTTAAGTAAAATAAATTTACGAGATTTATATTAATGTGATGCATGTTTAGTGAAGAAATTCTACTGTGATGATATCCTAAGTGAAGGTGGGCATGTGATGGCAGGTGTAGGTGAATATTTTATTTAATTGAATATGTGTCACACACACACACGCACGCACGCACACACACGCGCGCGCACACACACACACATATATATTGAGTAATATTGTAAATGTGAATATATGTTTCCTATATGCTCTATTTTATAATATTAAGTGTGAGGTTTTAGGGTGTTACACAAGTAACATGTACACTTGTTTTTCTAGCGTCACATAAATGCCCCTCACAGGAATGTCATGTTAATCTTCCAACTCAATTTAACAATTGGCCGCATCTCAAGCTATTTCACACATGTGCGTTTATCAACCACCTCTTCTATTTAAAGAGAAAAGAGTGTCACTTCACAAGATATTAAAAGTATTTCTCATTCAAACTTCATTTCTCACTCTTTTATTGATTTTAGCGTTGGAATGCTAACATTGCAAGTCATTCCTCTTCTCTACCGCATCAGAAACTCTGAACCACCGTAACAAACAACAAACAGTGAATTCGATCATCATATTCCAAACATATACAAAAAAAAAAACAGCTTTTCTATAAATTATAGCTTATTTTCATATGCTATCTTAATAAAATTATTAGTATTCCATAAAGTGTTCCTTTTAACACTCTCGTGCCGATACAAACGAGTAAAGTTTAAATATAGAGAATTTTTTTCTCCATCATATAGTGAAAAGAAAAATTCTATACAATTCTTAAAATGTCCTTTAGTCATCAGAAATACATTTCCAGTACGCACCATGCACCATACACAAATAGACCAAAATGTGATTTTTCTGCTTCTTGTGTAGCACAAAACCGGAAATATAAGTCCGGATACAAACCGGAAATTAAATTCCGGTTTTCAACCTACATTTTATCAAATCTCGGTGCGTCTTAGAAATGTATTTCCGATTTCCAGAAACATTTTTGTAACTTCACGTGGTGCGTTAGAAAATTATATGGTGGAAAAAGAAATCCTCTAAAAATATATAAATTCAAACCGACCCTCAAAAGGAGAGGATGGGCTTTTAGAGACACACATTACACACACCCTTTTAGTCATTCGTAATTATCAGATATGTACAACTGTCTTTGGATGCTTGTGCCGTATTTAATGGCTCTACATAAGTCTGTGATAATGAAAAGAAGAGTTAGTTCTGATATAGTTTTCTGTTGCAGTAATTGAATTCCTCTAAGGATAGCAAGGTGACAATTCAGGTGTCTATTCTGCATTTAATAATCTCAAGTCCTATTGGCTTTTACTGATATCTGATGTTGTATTTGATAATCTTTATGACTGGTGCTCGTTAAACATTGCTCGCTTCTCCAAATAATAGGACAATTATGTCATTCAATCAATATCAGCTGAATTTTCAAATTGAAGTTGAATTGATTTTTACTGCTAAAAGTATTTCTGCCAACCAACAACAAAAATAAAGGTTCACATATTAATAGAAACAATACAGCAAATGTGTCTATGAACATTCACAATTACCAAGAAATAAATAGTTTATTTTCCTCCCCTGTCTTGAAGACTAGTGCTTTCTCATTTTAAGGCCTGTTTGGTTTTGACCTTTCTGGGTGGAAAGCAAGATAAAGAGAGAAAAAGTTATATTATTTGCTACTATTGAATCAGTTCTTTGCCTTCAGAGAGTTATTATCCTTGATCTTGGCTCGACTATCCAGCTTAACATACCGTTTTAGATCTCCATAAAGGAGTGTTTCGATATTCTTCCTACGTAATTCACTTAATGCAGGGCGTTTATCAAGCAGCTGACACAACCAGTCAGGGTAGTTTGCAGCAGGCAGGATTTTTGGATCAGTTCCTTTCTTGAGAATGTTGGAACCTACGACTGTACTTGCCTTGACTTCTTTGCTAAGAGTTGATGTTTTGGCCGCATCCGAAGGTCCACCCCCTTTAGATCCTTTCTTTGCTTTACCAGTCGCAAAAGTTCGTTGGCATGCAACCCCAACTGCTTCTTTGGTGCTTAGAATTCGCTTAACAGACCTTGCATTGTTCGTTAACATGATTCTCTTCTGTGAGAATGTATTATATCACTTCAAGGAGGAACATGAACTGCATAGAAAAACTTAATATTAGTACAAGTACTTCACAAATTAACCACACTGCAATCCTGCAAATACATTTCTTCCAATGTGTGGTAACTCTAGTGGTACTCTTGATCTCGCAAATACATTTCTTTCAATAGTCTAAATTTCTAGGATGCACTGGATCTTCAAATGGATTTGCACCAACTAATGTGACATCACCAAAGGAACATCAACAGCAAAAAGTTTGGTTTCTGCACAGATTCTATACTTTAAATCTAATAGGCTTCAATTTCTCTTTTCATGCTCAAAATCATTGCAATACATAGGATCATTGTTTGTATACTAATTATCTTAACCCAAATTAATGCACTTGCGAACCAAGTTTAAATTTACTCAATAAAAGGGTAACCTCAAAACATGGTTCAGAAATAATCATATTAAGCATCAAATATCAGAAAACTTAAGAAAAGTTTCATTAATGTTGTTGGTGCAATTGCAATAGACACAAAACAAAAACCATTTTAAAAAATAGGCACACATGATACAACATAACAAAATCCTTCAACTTCCATGACTACAACAAAAAGACATCATATGAAATTTAAGTTTTGTACATCCGTTAGGAACTCAAGAATTGGATTCGAACGAAAGAACACTTTTATTAAGAATTAGGATAGAATAGGAGAGAATCTCTCCTCAAGGACTTCCCCTTCTCAATAGAAAATACTCAATTAACATCTACAATATTCAATAATGATCAACTTTACATTGAATTCTCCTATTTATACAAATAGTCCACTAACAACCTCAACTAACCAACTTACTAACCTTAATAACAACTGCTCTTACTATTCTAATTAACCAATATTCTACCTCCTACAAATACACCCCTCCTCAAAACAGCCTTGTCCTCAAGGTTGACATCTACAAAATATTCATTAAAACTAAAGTAATGCCTCTCTCTCTAGCAGCATGCCCCCCTTTATATTACCCGACAGCAGCATCCCACCAATGTAGTAAGGAGCGAGTGTTGGAATTGTTTTGCAACATACTCTCATTTTGATTGCATGACTGCAGCCACCTCGATCCCACAAATGGAAACTTGTTGAATCAACTTAAGCTTCAGTTGGTTGTTTCACCTCCTTTCCAAGAATTTGTTACTTCGATAATTTTTGTAGTACTGGATTGGTTGGCAGAGGCAAGTTCAAAGGCTCTCTCTCTTGCCACAAAACACCCATTCAAGTTTCTACAGTTTTCAAGAAACAACTTTTGTTGGCAGCTTTGCAATCCCTCCTTCCACAGCGGCTGAACTTCACACTTGGACCTTAAAGCTGTCTCGTTTTTCCTCCTTCAACAGAAACAGCTTCTGCAAGTCAACGATTCCGCAAGTGGATAAGCATCTGGCGACTTTGCTTGTGGTGGAGGAGCCACAACCTGCAAACAAGCCTTCAACAGAAACTTCTGTGTAACTGGTTCTCTCGTGATTCCTCTCTCTGTAGTTTCTTTTTGATGACCAAGGTCGTCAGAAACGAGATCTTGCATAAGATCGGGAGGAGGTAGCTATATTATAAAATATAAGATTGTAACTAAGATCAGAAGATCCTATCCAATTAATTTTGTAAGATTGATAAGGGATAGTAGCAAGATTGTAAAAGAAAAGATTGTAACGAAGATCGTTAAGATCCTACTAAAACGAACTCTAATATTTTAACCAAACCCTAAGGCTGATATGTCTATTCTCACCATTCTTACTAGTTTTTCTTCTCGGTTTGTGATGGTGGTGGTCTGAAAAACAGTTGATTGTTGCTGTATAGCCATGATAGCACACAAAATCAACGATTTCAATATCTTTTCACAATTTGGTTATGACTTTGTAATGATTTTACTCAATCTTTCTACTACACAATTCTACATAAGATCACAAAGTTTGTAAAATTGTAAGATCGAGATCTTGACAATCTTGCTGACGACTTCGGTTGAATCGGGACTCTTGCCATGAGACCTTCAACCCCGGCGAAATTTTTACAAGAACTACATCCCACAACCTTGACATCTTCAGTTGGTGTGTGCTATCGAGTTATTGTGGTCGCTCTCACCACCGCAGGCATGTCAACGTTTGGCTGTTCTAGTGAAGGCGGTGGTTTGGACCAAGGTAGTCAGACTCGAGCAAGGTAGTCAGAATCGCAATCCAACTCATAGGATCTGACAATTCAGCGATCTTGTAACCCCCTCCGTGTTGGAGTACGGCCGGAATCATTTTTTTTGGTAGGTTGGTCGGAATTGCCGCGAAAACACGTAGAAACGATGGAATCGCCGCGAACGCAAGATTCTGTTCACAATCCAGAAATTCGGGTTTGCGACCCATATCCTGAATATTACGACCCAGTTAAAGAAAACCTAAAATTGCACCACGGCAGAAAACACTACCCAAAAAGTTCTGGGTAACATAACTGATGTAGCATGGAAAAATGATGTTGCTAATCCTAATAAATCCAAGAAAAATACAATGCAAGTATTGTTAAAAAAAAGATAACTGGAGGTGTCTACACTGGCTAAAGCATCACTTGGCTGAAACTCAAAAAGATGCGGAAGCATGTAAGGCTATTCCAGATGAAATCAAGAGAGAAATACTGCAAATTTGTGCAAGATTGCAAGAAAAGTTGATAAAAAAACAAAGGTAATGATGGAGGAGGAGAAGTCAGAGGTCGGTGAAAAAAAATGAACAATAAAAGCTCTTGAAACATATTTAAAAAAAGGTGTTTCATCTCACAACCTAACATCAATGCAGTTCTAAAGAAGAGTTTAAGAGATGATGCATGTCAAGCAATTGCAAGGGTTTTTTACAACAATGGCATACCATTCAATGTAGCAAGGAGTGAGGAGTTCACTATTATGTGTGATATAATTTCAAGACAGGACAATGAATTCAAACCACCATCTTGAGTTAAGTTGTTAAACCAAGAAGTGAAGTTAACAAATGAAGTATTGGAAGAACATAGGAAGGAATGGAGGAACACTAATTGCACCAAAATGACTGATGGATGGACTGATCGGAGAAGGAAGACAACTTGAATTTTTTTATTAATAGTCTAAAAGGTACTGTATTTTTGAAGTTTTTTTATGCTTCCAACATATGTAAAACAACCGACAAAATCTTTGAGATGATAGATGTTATAGTTAAAGAGGTTGGAGAAGATAGTGTCATTTAGGCCATGACAGATAATGCGGCAAACAACAAGGCTGCCAATATCTTCTTCTCCAAGTACTCAAGCATCAAATCAAGTCAGTGCGCAACACAAGGTGTCCAATACAATATTTTCCTCTTTCGCATCAGCATCTCAGTTTGCCGCATTATCTGTCACGACCTGAATGACATTATCTTCTCCAACCTCTTCAACAAGAGCATCTATCATCTCAAAGTTTTTGTCAGTTGTTTTGCGTATGTTCAATACATCAACAGACTTCAAAAATATAGTATTAGACTATTAACTAAGAATTTCAAAATCTTCCTCCTCCTTCGATCAGTCAATTCATAGGTCATTATGGTGAAACTAATATTTCTCAATTCCTTCTTAGGTTCTTCCAAAGCTTCATTTGTCAATTTGTCAATTTCACTTTATGGTTTAACAACTTAACTCTAAGGTCATGATAAGATAGTGGTTTAAATCCATTACCATGTCTTGAAATCATATCACACATAATAGTAAACTTCGCACTCTTTACTACATGGTATGGCATTGTCGTAAAAAATATTTGTAATTACTTTTTTAGATGCATTGATGTCAAGTTGTGAGCTAAAACATCTTTTCTTATATATGTTTTCATGGGCTATTATTGTTCATCTGTTTTTCACCAACCTTTGACTTCTCCTCCACCATTGCCTTTTTTTTTCATCTTTGACTTCTCTTCCACCATTGCTTCTGTTTTTTCATCAACTTTTCTTGCGATCTTGCACAAATTTACAGTATTTCTCTCTTGATTTCATCTAGGACAGCTTTACATACTTCCTTATCTTTATGTTCCAGTCAAGAGATGCTTTATTCTGTAGACACCTTCGGTTACCTTTTTTTCTAGAATACTTGCATTATGATTCCATGCTAGGGGAGCGTAGTGTTAGCACCAACAACTAAAGTTCCAATAGCAGAGTTTGAAGTCATTAGTCATTAGGGAAATGTTGAAACTCAAAGGGTTGTGTTGTGTGGAGTATTTAGTAGATTAAGAAGGAACTGAATAGAGAAGATAGAGAAGTGAAATACTGAATAAAAGGGAATTGAATATTTAACGTGAGAGTGAGGATATGATTCTGGTAATTCCACTAATTATGAGTGTGTATTGCGAAGTACCACAAATTTTTTATTACTGGGTGGGTGGATATTAACTAATTATTTTAATTAGGCAGCGGGTCGCGAACCCGTTCTGGGAACCATAATATCTGGATTTTGAACAGAATCATGCTTTCGTGGCGATTCCACCGTTCTTATGCGTTTTCGCGGCGATTCTTGCCGCGCCTACCAAAAAACGATTCCAGCAAAACTCTGGCTCCAACACAAAGGGGGTTACAAGATCGCTGAGTCGTCGATCCTACGAGTTGGATCGCGATTCTGACTATACTGGTTTGGACTTAGGCATTTTTCGGCATCTGCAAATCCCGATCTTAATGCTTTGGTAACAAAAGATCAATTGTTGGAGTGGCCACTACATGTAGTTTGGTGTCAGCCATTTATGGCAGTTGGAGGGATCTAGTAAGAACCCTGATCTCCGAATGTTTCAACAGCGGCGGTAGAATCAAATGGGTACCACAGAAGAGCCGCTTCTACTCTTTCAAACTCTGAAAATGACCCATTAAACCTTTGTCACTCATCATCATGTCACCAAGAAAACACCCATTTCTTATTCCGTGTCCGGTGTCTTTACCAATTTCTCCACTTCTTCATTGCACACTCCTCCTATTTATCTTTCTTTATGGCTCACACTTG